AGGGGTGGACACGGGTGCTCAGGGCTGTACCAGTCCACAGACGTCATCCCTGGGAAGGAGGACGCCCTGCTCCGAGGATAGCCTGCACTCAATGGGGTTCCAGGCGCCTTCCACGCTGGCAGCCCTCGGGGCAGCCCGGGCACCAGAATGGGAGCCACAGCGTCCTCGTCCCCTACCGGTCCCGCCCCGCTCTTGCCCTTCCTCCCAGGCCCTGTTCCGCTTGGGCCTCTCAGCCCTCCCGCCATTGCCAGGCCTTCCCCTGCGGGCCAGTTCCTGCTCTGCGCGTGGAGGAGGCCTCACTCTGCCCATCAGACCTGCCCCTCAGGCCTCACCCCTATATCTCAGGCGGGTCCCCCAGTCTAGGCACTGAAGCACCTGCCCTGCCCACTCGGCCACCAGCTGCGGCCCCACTGGGTCCGCTTTGCCCAGAGACTCGCTTGCCCTGTCCCAGCCTCACCCAGGGCCTGTCCGGGAGCAGGGCTTGCTGCACAGCCAAGAGGAGGGGCAGGGCTCTCTCAGCCCCCACCCAGGACGTGCGTGTGGTCTAGCGCTGCGGAAAAGCGCCAACCCTTCAGGGACAGGACAGGGACAGGGCACTCGGCAGTTGCATGTGCAAAAAACACATAGGGTGTCTCCAGGCCAAAGGGGCTCTGCGGGCACCACTATTCCCGGGTCCTCAGTCTGCCCCTGGCCCTGAGCCCCCCAGGCAGACCCCGGCATCCCTCAGCCCTGCTGGGCCCTTGCAGGGCTGGGCCTGAGCCGCTGCAGGCCGTGGAAGCAGCCCTGAGGCCAGGCGCCCTGGGGACGTCCCTTCCACTCCCAATGCACCGTGGGGCCGCTGCGTCCCCACCTGGGCCTGCCCTGCTTCGGTGGCGAGACGGAGCAGACTGTGGCCTGTGCCGGGGTGAAGGAAAGGAAACCACCCAAATGTCCCTCGGCGGAGGCAGTGGGGGACCAGGCACACTCTCCCAGCGGGTGTCACGCCCCGGCGCACACTCAGTGCGGCTCGAACTGTAATCACGTGCCTGTGTGAGTTTCTATGTTAAAACAGGAAATAAAATATAACGGAAAAAATTCACAATACCAGTCAAAATATCAAATTACCAGGAATAAATATAACAAGAGATCAGCACTACTCATGTTTTTAAAAAAGAGGAAAGAAATGGAAGATACACCGTGGTCCTGTATTTAACTTCTTAATTGAACTTTTAGAAGTCAGTTCTTCCTTCATTAATCTGTAAATCTAATACAATTCCAATCCGATTATCAGAGGGACTTTTCAAAGAACTCGATTCTAATGTTCTCTTGGAAGATGATGAACACGAGCCTTCATGCCAAGTGTAGCATCAGGCTACGGTGAGTAGCGGCGGTTCCGGTTCCGACGCAGGGATGGGCGCGCGGCCCAGGCAGGGCCAGCCCGTCGGAGAAGGCAGGCGGTCAGGGCCTCGTCTCAAATGCGTGGGAGAGCGGGGGAGCTCAACACGTGGTCTTGAGAGAGCTGGACAATCAGTTGCAAAAATCATGGCAGACACCAAAAGTATCCAACTGGAGTAAAGATATTAAATGATCTAAGTGACAAAAAGGTGAAAAAACAAGAAATAAAATTCTAAAGGAAAATAAAAGTGAGTGCTTATATTATCTTGGGGTGCAGAGGAACTTTTTTAAGTACGTTGGGAAAAGTGAAAACTATTACAAAAAAAAAAAGTCTAATATTAAGCCAGGCACAGGGGCGTGCACCCGGAGTCCCAGCAACCGGGGAGGCGGAGGCGGGAGGATCGCTTGAGGCCGGGAGTTTGAGGTTGCTGTGAGCTAGGCTGACAGCGCTGTACTCTAGCCCAGGCGACAGAACACGACTCTGTCTCAAAAAAAAAAAACAAAAACAAAAAACCGTAACAGAGAAGACTGACAATTTTTGGTAAGAGATTTAGTTCACAGCTCAGTAGTATCAGGGGCTGGAATCCAACACCATTTTACCGCTTCTACTCTGCAACTTTTAAATAGTGAGCTATGAAAATGTATAACCCAGGCACAAATAATAAGACTGGTGTTTCTCAGAACGCAATTTGTACATCACATTTATAAATGCACCATAAAGGGAATAACCTTTGCCTAAGTAGGTTTGGGGGAAGTGGCGGATTGTTCAGAGTGGTAAGCAGATACATCACTGTGGCGTTCTTAGAGACTGTGGCTCGAAGACGCGAAGCCTGAGCGCGGTGTGTCCAAGACCACAGTCCCCCGTGGCAGCTCTGGGCTGGGCTCTGCTGGGAAGGCGGCGGTGCTTTGTTGGGGTGTCTAACGAACCGCATCCAGGAGCAGAGAAGATGCAGCAGTCACCCATTTCGGCCAGGAGAGGGGGATGTTTGGTCATTTTTATGGGTGGCACCATGACCTTGGTTTTATCTGTGGAAAACACAATTTGGAAATGGTCTTTTTTTTTTTTTTTAAGATGGGGTCTCACTATATTGCCCAGTCTGATCTTAAACTCCTGGGCTCAGGCGATCCTCCCACCTGAGTAACCCGAGTAGCCGGGACAACAGTCATGAGCCACCTTGCCGGTCATAGAAGTGGTCCTTTTCTTCGCTCGTCTTGTCATGGCCGCGAGTGGCTGGTCAGAGGCCGGCACTCTGAGCCGACGAGCAGCCCAGGCGGCCGGCACAGCTGCCTTTTCCTTTCTCCACACTGAGGCCCCGACTCCATCCATGGCTCCAAGAGCCACGGGTCTGGGTGCAGGGGACGGAGAAGTGCCTGAGGACCCTCGGCCCCAGGTCACCTGTGGTCCTCTCGGGGTCAGGCCGACACAAGGACTCATGTCACTTCCAGCTCCCACAGCGTTTGTCTTCGCAGGAAGAATGGACGTTGTCATTCACTTATTCATTCACCCAGCAAACGTCTGGAAACATCACCACTGTCCGCACAGTCAGGGCGCGTGACTCAATTTGGCCCCCAGAAGGCAAAGGGGCCGCCAGGCTCCCTTCCCCGGCTGTGACCATGCCCTCAGTCTGCCGCACAGGTGCCCCCGCGGCCACGGTGGTCAGGAGGAGGGGCGGGACATCGGCCTCTGTTGGTGAAGCCCCGAGACCGGAGACTGAGACCGGGGTCACAGCTGCAGCCTGGCCCCTGCCTGCGCGTGTCGCCGGCCTCCAGCAGGGGGCATCAGCGAGTCCTCGTGGACTGTTCTGCCAGCTTCTGGGAGGCTTTAGGGCCTGCCTCCCACCCCAACCTCCCCAGCCCCCCACCGCCACCATGTGTGCGGTCTTAGGGCTTCCTGGGGCGTCTGCCGGTGAAGCCAGAGGTCCCCTGTGCCCAGCACCAGTGGCCCGCATGAAAGGACGCTCAGTCTTGCCAGCGAAATAACAGAAAAATGAGCTCTCTGCTCCCTCCCTCAGTGACAGGCACCCTGCGGTTCCGTTTTCCCAACGTCTGAGCCGACAGAGAGGAAGCATACATCTGCCTCTCGAGGAGTCCCGCGGAGCTCCTGGGGGGCAGAGTCCAGGCCTCAGCTTCCTGCCCAAAGCCTTGTCCCAGGGCGAGATGACACCCCCAGCGACGAGCCCAGCGGCGGTGTTTGGGAGACAACCACGTCTCCAGGAGCAGAGAAAACCGGCCAGACGGAAAACCTGTCGTCTGGCTCTGCTAATGACTCCACCGCTCTGTTCCAATCGCCACTCTGTCCCCTTCTCCTGTCCCCATGAAAACTGCAGCCACTGGCCCCCACGCCCCGCTCTTCCCTTTTCTGGGCGCAGTGCGGCTTCTTTCTCTGCCACGCCAACCAAACCTCTTTTCCCTCTATTTCTCTTTCCTCTCTCCGACTCTCTCTTTCCTTCTAAAAACATAAAACTAATTCTATACTTTTATATCCTAATCTCTGTGTGAGAAATTTTCTCCACCCGCGCAAGCGCCCCGCCCTACCCCACAGAGCCGCTGCTCATCTGAGGGTCTGATGCTGGTGGCCTTGGGGACCGAGCCGGTCACCAAGAGGCGGAGCCGCAGTGGGGTGTGCAGGGACCCCGAGGTGCCTCCCGTCTGGGCCAGCAGTGCCTTGTCCATCCACCCTGGGCAGAATCTTCCAGAAACTTCTCCCAGGGCCAGGAACTTCCTGCCTGCCAGGACACCTGTCCCTGCAGTTAGAAAACTGTCCCTTCCGCAGAGGTGGAACAGGCCCCTGGACCCCCCTTTCCACTTCCGCTGGCAGGAGTGGGGACGGGGTGGTCCTGGGGTCAGGGACAGACGGGCCTGCACCTGGTCCCTCGTGGCCGTTTCTCCTTAAAAAGCAAAGCTAGAGGGAGCAAGGGGAGAAAACAAGACAGCGTGAATGATTTCACTGTCATCATCAGTATTTTCTGCCCTTCACTTTTTTTCATTGAAAAGAAAACCTGAGAGCAGTTTTAGTCACAGAAGACTTGAGAATCGGGTGCAGACGTCCCTAAGCCCAGCCCGCCCCGGACCTGCACCCGCACCCAGCGCCACCCTGGCTGCCCTCACGCCCCAGCGTGCTGCCTGCTGTCACCTACACTAGGAGCCAGGCCACCCTTCCCCCACCGCCCTCCCTGTCGCCCACGCATCTGGAGCCCGCTGACCTCAGTCCCC